TTACCACTTCCTACGTCGCGGACCCGTTTTCCTCCCTTCCAATAGCATTTTAGGAATGCAGATACCTTAATCTAATTGTCATAAACAGTTTCCACACTCCGGATAGCTAGCCTTGACTACTTCCTTCACCACTTCCTACGTCGCGGACCCGTTTTCCTGCCTTCCCATAGAATTTTAGGAATGCAGATACCTTAATCTAATCGTCATAAAAAGTTTCCACACTCCGGACAGCTCACCTTTACTACTTCCTTCACTACTTCCTACGTCACGGGCCTGTTTCCCTCCCTTCCCATAGAATTTTAAGAATGCGGATACCTAAATCTAATCGTCATAAACAGTTTTCACACTCCGGGCAGCTCTCCTTGACTACTTCCTTCACCACTTCCTACGTCGCGGACCCGTTTTCCTGCCTTCCCATAGAATTTTAGGAATGCAGATACCTCAATCTTATCGTCATAAAAAGTTTCCACACTCCGGACAGCTAGCCTTGACTACTTCCTTCACCACTTCCTACGTCGCGGACCCGTTTTCCTCCCTTCCCATAGAAATTTATGAATGCAGATACCTTAATCTAATCGTCATAAACAGTTCCCACACTCCGAACAAATCGCCTTCACTACTTCCTTTACCACTTCCTACGTCGCCGACCCGTTTTCCTCCCTTCCAATAGCATTTTAGGAATGCAGATACCTTAATCTAATTGTCATAAACAGTTTCCACACTCCGGATAGCTAGCCTTGACTACTTCCTTCACCACTTCCTACGTCGCGGACCCGTTTTCCTGCCTTCCCATAGAATTTTAGGAATGCAGATACCTCAATCTTATCGTCATAAAAAGTTTCCACACTCCGGACAGCTAGCCTTGACTACTTCCTTCACCACTTCCTACGTCGCGGACCCGTTTTCCTCCCTTCCCATAGAAATTTATGAATGCAGATACCTTAATCTAATCGTCATAAACAGTTTCCACACTCCGGACAGCTCACCTTTACTACTTCCCTCACCACTTCCTACGTCACGGACCTGTTTCCCTCCCTTTCCATAGCATTTTTGGATTGCAGATACCTTAATCTAATCGTCATAAACAGTTCCCACACTCCGAACAACTCGCCTTCACTACTTCCTTCACCACTTCCTACGTCGCGGACCCGTTTTCCCGCCTTCCCATAGAATTTTAGGAATGCAGATACCTTAATCTAATCGTCATAAACAGTTTCCACACTCCGGACAGCTCACCTTTACTACTTCCTTCACCACTTCCTACGTCACGGACCTGTTTCCCTCCCTTCCCATAGAATTTTAAGAATGTGGATACCTAAATCTAATCGTCATAAACAGTTTTCACACTCCGGGCACTGGGCAGCTCTCCTTTACTACTTCCTTTACCAATTCCTACGTCGCGGACTCGTTTTCCTCCCTTCCAATAGCATTTTAGGAATGCAGATACCTTAATCTAATTGTCATAAACAGTTTCCACACTCCGGACAGCTAGCCTTGACTACTTCCTTCACCACTTTCTACTTCGCGGACCCGTTTTCCTCCCTTCCCATAGAATTTTAGTAATGCAGATACCTTAATCTAATCGTTATAAACAGTTTCCACACTCCGGACAGCTCACCTTTACTTCTTCCTTCACCAATTCCTACGTCACGAACCTCAAGCTAGTGTCGTCATTTGATTATATTTATGATGCATACCGTTTCTGTTCTAATATCTGTGAATTAATGCTATCAGCTATTTCTTTATCTACTGCATTCAAAAGTCAACAGCTGATCACATGTTTTTGTTTATGTGTCAAATACTGCTTCCATAAGAATTACATTGAAACTTTGAGACCCAGTGGGGCGGATTCCTGAGAGACTTTTTTAACGCCATATAGATGTTGGCACTCACCGATATGGTCTTTATCACCATGCACAATTTGAAAACGATTGATTCAGCCGTCTAGGAGGAGTTTGCGTATTACGAAATGCATAAGAGTCGACTAAGAGCTTCGCTCGCTCCGCTCAATTAGTCAAACTATTAACTTTTGTTTACGAATTAAGAGCTATAGCAATTTTATGATAATTTTCCCGACATTCACCATAATAGTGTAATAATAAATATGGCAACGTCAGCCCTACAACAGCTGTTTGATGGGAAAACATAGCTGGCACAGAATGAATTAGCAGAACGACTAGAGGGAGAGAGAGGGATAGAGGGGAGAGGGGAGATGGCATAACCAGTAACAAAAACAAATAATAGAGTGATATGTCAATGTCAGTTTTGAATGTTTTTACTTTGAAGTGAATTTGTAACTTATAATAACATTGGTTTTGTTTAGTGGAAGTTTAATAGAAAGTTAAATAAACATTGCCTATTCTGTTTGCAACTTATTTGATTGTGCAATTATTATACTGTGGCAGGAACATGACAACAATATTTGATTGTATGTAACATAACCTAGAGTGTCGAGTTTAGGCCAAATAGACTATACCCGGCTACAGTGAAATGCGAAACGGCACACGGAAGATTTCTCAGGTGCCGTTTGACGTCACTAACTGCTGACATCACTTTGAGGGAACACCAATACCGCAACGATACGGTTTTGAGCCATCGGCCTCGGTGGTGCAGTGGATAGCGTTGCCGGCTGATAATCCGAATGTTCCGGGTTCGAATCCCGCCGATGGCACTAACTTTTTTCAACAATTTTTTCATATCAGCAAGTTTGGTTGGTTTGGTTAGGTTATAACAGTTTAATTTTATAATTAAAAAATTATAAAATTAAAATTATAAAATTATAAAATTAAATTTTAGGCAATTATAATTTTATTTTATGAACAAAACTATTTTTTAGATTAGTAAACCTCTATTCGATTTTTCCATTATCAGCACGTTTGGTTAGTTTGGTTAGGTTATGACAGTTTAATTTAATAATGGAAAATTATAAAATTGCCTGTTTCTTCAGACGCAGCAGTTAGTGACGTCAGCAGTTAGTGACGTCAAACGGCACCTGAGAAATCTTCCGTGTGCCCCACCGCAGTGAAATGTGTTTTAATTTAAAATTAAGAGTTAAATGTGGGATTTTATTTCAAGATAATAGCATAGATAAAACATACTCCCCCAAGTAGATTTCTCATCCTTATGCAACAGCTGAAGACAATTTTATTGTTAGTTCTGTACGGTTTATGTAGAGGTCGTGTTTTGATTACAATTTGTTTCCAGTTATTACAGTCATTTAAAACCTCGTTTAGACAAATAATGCGATCTAATCATAAACAATAACTTGTCTCCAGTTATATAACCAAACAGTAAAGCACAAATCTAGAAATTAACCCTAAAATAATAGAAACAAAATTTTGTCGACACTAGCGCCCAGTGTCACTGTACATGAACTAGACACGAAAAACAAGCTTCAAAATTTACAATGGGATGACAAGTCTACTTGTATTGGTTAGTCTATGATAATAGGCCTACTACGTTTTTGATTGATATTTTTAGTCTGTCAGAGATGAGTGACTTATATAACTTCATTCCAAATGATTATTTTAAATTAAAATACCTTATTGCATAACTTATATTGGAGATATTTGCAATGAATGTATGTATAACTAAATTTAAAAGTTCAAAAGCCTTATTTCATATTGGTGTTTTAAAATTATAAGTTACATGTAATTATATTAAGTTATCTGTTATATATATATATATTTCTTTTTACAAATTCTGTTTCTTTATTGAATTGAAATCATTATTATCATCGACTCAATAGCCTACTAGATTTGTTTAGTCAAATAATTACCGTTTTATTGAAAAAATAGCCTTTTAAAGAAAATAAAATAAGGTGAAATTGACTAGGCCTAATAAAATTATATTTAAACTTACTCTACATTAAATTGCATTTTAAAAAAGGTTTTTGACTAGGCCTGATTAACGTATTATTTGTAATTACATTTATTTATAATAGAAAAAAGCTCGGCTCGGGCTCAGCTCGATTGAAAATCTCAGGCTCGCACACCTCTAGTTGGCACCAAAATTTTTGGTATGGTTTTTGGTTTTCAAAATAGATTATAGATAACGTTATCCCCAGTATTAATATAGTATGCAGTACATTGCAGGGTTAACTGGCTAAGAAGTAAACCAACTGAATACTGGCCTGGAGATATAACGCGATCACCTATATTAAAGCAAACAAACATTAGCTGTGTATGGCTTCCAATGCTATTCTTATGGGGAACATAAAGTTTAATGTGTTAAATTTTAAAATATCAAAGAGATCAGTGAGTAGGCCTACCAAATCGATGCATCGGTATTTCCATGCATGCTGAATCAAATTGCGATTTGATTCATCGAATCAAACATGTCGATGCATTTTGGATTCATTGCACACCACTACCGATGACAAATGGCATCTAGGACTAGGACGGAACCAGCTATCTTCAGCATTGAAAGCAAGCACTATAATAATAACAACTCGGCTACCCAGACTTAGTTTGTGAGGCAATCGGAATTTAAAATCTTACTGTGCGCTTAATGCATATATACAGAGCATTATTTATATAAATTTAAGTGCCAGGACTGGAAAAAACATACCAGCACTTACAGATACTATCGCCCCCCACCATTACCCCCGACAAATAAATTGTTTGTATCATTCAAATATTCATAGCTTTGTTAATCATACATTTAAAATGCTTTGTCACAAGCAGGCTTACGCCGATAGAAATATTAAGATTTAGGTTTAGACATTGAATGAATTTAACTGGAATCAAACTTTGAAATATAATTTGTGGTTGGACGATTTCCACAGTGCTTGTGAATCAAGCCCTGGCATATATTTACTTGTCACCTAAAATATGTCCTTCACTTCAATATTACTAAAACTAAAATCCAAAAGACATAGAATATTCATACTTGATAAGACTTTCAATTGCATAATTTCAAATGTTTATAATAGCATTAACACTTAAAGCTATAAGTCAAACTTGTAGGACATATAATGAGCAAACAGTGTACTACGGTACCTTGTCATTGTTGGTGACTTGTTTGGCATGTTGCCGCTGATGGACCTTGTTCCAGTTGTTGTAGAAGGTAGCGATAGGTGTTCCTCGAGCTCGCACGCCATTCTCCCACGCCCGCACAGCCGCAATATCAGCCAGTGACAGGGTCACTTTGCGTCTCTCAGTCTCAACAAACTTCCCATTCTCTTCCATCTTGGCTAAAACTTGCCTAAGCTTTTGGCTGTACTTGCCCACACGGCATTCTTTCACAAAACTTCTTAGCTGAAAGTTAGAATAAAACAAGTGGTCTATGAGAACAAGAAGGATTAAAATAAATACTATGTTCTTTGTGAAAACATGAATTAAAATTAGAATTTCCTTTCCAATAGGCCAAACTGTTTACAAAACAAGAAAATTGATGCCCTTAATATATTTTCTTGTAGGTAAAATGATAGCTTGTTGTCTGACATTGAATTATCTATCGTGCAATATCTCTGATTTTTTTTACCCTGGTCTTTTAACAGCCAGATTTTTTGTGCGCTAGCTGTGTTTTGTACGTTATCTTTTCCCATCTTTTTTGCGCGCCCAATTGAGTAATCAACTAATTTGATAAAGCATCGCTTGCAGTTGTCTGCTAAACACACGTCACCGTGCAGACGATGCATTACACCACACTTATGTAACTCAACTGATAATACAGTAGCTTGTATAAATATTTCATATAATTGGTAAAATAATTATAAACAGTTGTTGGACTTGTTGTTTCACGTTTAAAAGTGTAAATAAAATATAACCAAGAAAACACGATAACTTTGTAAAAACTTTTTGTAAGTAAATAGGGGGGGACCTGGGACTTACCTGGGACCTGGCCAGTCCGGGCATGTTACCTCTAACAATGCTTTATTTTCATTAATAATAAACACAAGAAAAATAAATCTAAATTTACAAATATTACTACAAATTTGGATTCTTTCAATAAATATGTTGAATGCCTGCTCCATCTTCAAATTCTCTAGCAGATCTCCATTTTTTTCAAGATCTTCTCAAGAACATGCCCGTTGCCCTTAAAATTGAGCAAGTAATCTCACTCTAATCCAATTAACTACCAGACTGAAAGCCCTTAACCCGATTTTCTGACAACCTAGTTACCTAGTCGCTAGTGCTCTTATCAGTGTTTGCAATTGTTGCCTAGGATTCCGCAGACTGATGTTATCATGGGAGTGAAAGAGGCATTCCGGCTGACGTACACTTTCTTTTCTTTTCTTCTGCATTTTTTATGACATTGTCATGAGGTTTGGGTTTGGAGACATATGAGGGAGCATCGGTGCCTATGACACGGATATCAAATAATGCTTCCCTCTGTGTCTCCCATACCCCTCAACATGCCAAGTCAGCTTTAATTGCAGGCCTATTTGCATTTCCATTATCTGCTATAAGGGGCCCTTTTATACCATTCCTTCCTGCCAGTTGCATAATGTTTCCTAAAGCATCGCTAATTTCATTGTGCCGTTTTATAATTAGGCTACCTACAGGACATATAAGGGCATGGTCTGTATTAAAGTCTTTCCCACAGCCATCACATTTGGTTGGTAAGCGGACATTACTCACAGATAGAACACAGCACTCACTGAACTCAAAAGAGGTTTTTAGTGCAAGAGATTGTAATAAAACTTCGCACCCTCTTTTTGAGGTTTCATGAATGTGTTTCGATTGCACTACTAGATCAGCGATCCCTATTCCTCCGCTTTTTACTGTTAGATGTAGTAATTCATGCTCTTCTTTACATAGGGCTTCTTGTAATCCAAACAGATTGGGGAAAAGTGATGTTCAAATAGTGTGCTGGATTGGACTGAACATTTCTAGTTAACACGTTCGCTGCGGGCCATCAAATGGCAGCCGTAGCCCCAGTGCGGCGCAGCCCGCAGCGTCGAACAAACCCGATTGCCGGGTGATTGGCTCTCATATTTCGGAATGACGAATAGCAAATAGCGAGCGGTGATGTCCTGCTTTATAACGAGAGTCGAGGTAGTTCGCTAAACATTCACAGATAGCAGCACTGCTTGGAACGTAGCCGTTCCCATTGTATTGCCTATTGAAGGGAGAAATACGGGACAACAAGTTGATTTTTAAGTTTGCCAGACGGGGATTTTATGGGGAAATTTTACTACCAACCTACAACACAACAAAAAGCAAGTCACCCACTACACGCTAACGTGGTATAGGTCCGCCTTCGACCGACGCTAGAGCAAAAACGAAGATATACGAAAGGCATTGCCGAGCGTATCCGATCGGTTACGGCAGCACCTGAACAGCGCTCGGCCCGTATCCGATCGGATACGCCCGCAGTGAACGTGTTAAACTTTTACTACTCTCTGAAAAAAGGTTCATATAGCTTGTAATGATTTTGTAGCAACAGTATGGGCTGATTGAGGGTGTTTTTCAGCAATCTTAGCAATATTTTAACACGCTGGGTCCAAGCATTAATCTTTTCTGTTGCAGATTCTTTCTTTTCTTCCTCGCAGCCAATAAAGCCTCATAAAAACTTGCTGCCATGAACAACATCCATTCCCTCCATTTGTTTCATAACTTTTTTGGGAATTTCAAAATCATTGTTCCAAATTAGTTTGGTTTTTTGGCTTGAGGGTAGTATCCATATTTTGGACCTATTTATTTGAGATTTTGCCAGCATTGTAGACAATAGACAATAGACAATTCCTGTATTACAATTTCATCAAGAAATGTTACAGCGTCAAATTTAAATGGTATAAGATACAAAGTGAAATAAATGGAAAAGCTTCTTCAGTGTTGTGTGTGTGGTCTTGCCATGCAAAGAACTCCTTTAGGGTGTAGAAAGCTTTTAAGAGTCAACGATATAATCTTCAGGATTAAGGATTCCTCCTACCATATTTTGGTTTACTACTCTAGATGCATCTTTTATTTTTACACATTGAACAAGTCTGTTGAAATAAGTTTCTGTAAACTGTTTTTTTTTTTTTTCATTTGTATCAAGTTTTTTACACTTGTTCTTTAAAGATCTATCGCATCGGATGGCCTCATTTACTAGCTCATCATACTTCTCCTCCTTCCACTCATTAATTCTTCTATCAATTAGTCTTCTGATGTCTTTTGTTTGTTTTATGATTTTTTCTCTCTGCAAAATAACATCAATGAAACATATTAATCTTTCAGAGGTTTCTTTTCCAGATACCAGCAACAATATTTATTCTGCTAGTAATTGTACAAATTTGTCTCCAACCGATCCATTTGGCAAATTATATTGCAATCTTTTAAGAGTAACGATCTTTTCCCAACGAGGCAACCATCTAGATGGTACTTGATCCTCAGAGATTTGTATTGGATTTACTTTAAAAAAGTTTGAAAGATAATCAGGAGATCTGCATTCAGTGTGTTTGGGTAGAATAAGAGTTATCAATGAATCATTACATTTTTTTGAATGATCTTTGTTCAAGTGATTGAGGAATCTTGCATGACTTTTGAAAATAATCTAACATTCAGTACATTTGTTTTTATTAGTTTCTGAATCAATAACACAATAATTGCTGTCTGTATCTATTTCCCAAGTTTTACATTTTGAAATAAGTAGATCAAAATCAGTGGCGTTGCCAGGTTTGGAGCGCCCTGGAGCCTAGAGTTGCTTAAGTGCCCCCCCCCCCTTTAACATTGAGCGTCACCACTACGTATTAAATTCCCTTACAATAATGGTCTTTTAAGATGATCATGTGTTCAATAAGCACCTAAAACACAACTTGTGCCATACTAAACTTTTATTTCACAATAAATTACCAAACAGATTTTGGCACTCGTGCCATCAGAAGACACTTTTCGCCAGTGAGATGTACTATATTTTTCGCCACACCACACATCACCATTCATTAAGCTGCATGATTCACAAAACATACATTTCGTACATTGTTTACTGGTTAGCCCTCAAAATGGTTTCCATCTGGTTTAACTGTTGAATGTAATTGCAAACAACACTGTTATTAAAAAAAAAAAATCATTTTGTTAGGTCATAAGTCGATAAGGAGTATTTTAGTAGTAAAATATAACATGATGATAAACACAAAGAAGTTTTTCTAATAAATAGCATTTGCCGGTCAGGGGCTCGTTTCATAATTAACTACAAGTTACAAGCTTTAACTTGTAATTTGTAATATCCACTAGATTTGCATTAGGCGATCAGCTGATTTACTAATAATATTAGTTGTAGGTAATTATAAAACAGGCCTCAGAACTATTTTATTCGGCCAAACCAGCGCACGACTTTTATAGCCCTTAATTTACTGTACAGCTAATATCCTCAACATCATCAGCTGATTCATTTTTGCCTATATGGAGGAAATAACACAAAAAACTAGTTTAGCCCCGCAACGTAAGTACAGTACCTATTGAAAACAGCTGTTGTTGCTGCAGCATATGATGAAATTCATCTTTACCCAGCCCTTAAGAAAATTTGTTTACAAAAATATAAATAACTTTAAACACAGCATACATTTTCTGCTTTATTTAGCCTAAGGTGTTGAGTCTTTAAGTAAAAACTAAAACCCATAAATAAAGCAAAGAGATATATATTTCACAATCTGTTAAAATTTTGTTTTGATTTGAGCATTAGTTTTTGTTTTATAAATTGCTACAAGTCGGGTGTTGTTCAAAAAGCAAGACAAATTATTTTCTAACTTGGTTTAATATGTTTAATGGTTTTGGTAGTTTAATAAGTAAGATATATTTTCCATTGTATTCAGTTATGATAATGTAACTAGCAACTTAATAAACATCACAAAACGTGTAAACCCCAGCAGCAGACTATACGCCTCTGGCGCCGCCTGGTTATAGGTGGCAGCGAGCGAGCACCGGGGCAACGATCACCTATTTATCTAAGAATATTATAATTAGGCTTGGACAGAAATGTAATTGTTTATAATAATAATATTTGTTTTTAAAATATTTACATGATCAGAGAAAATCTTACTTTAATTTTGTATTTAAATGTACTGTATATCAGAATTTTAAAAATATAACAGTTTTATTTTCCATCCTTCTCTGTTCTTATAACTAAAATATATTCTGCTGTCCCCATTCTAAGGTTCTTGATTGAGGTTAAGGCCAAGGGTATTGATCCTCTTCTGTTATTTTTTACTTTTAATGATAAAGTTGATCACTTGGGGAAAATTTAGAATGCATTATTTTGTTAAATATTTGATAAAAACGATTATAAATAACACTAACTTATAGGGATGGATGAGTCACGAAATTTCGGGAAATTTTCGGAAAAAAAATATTCCTGATTTTCGGGACGGGATTTGATCCGATCGTCAGCGATTTTGCCGCTTCGAGTGACGATAACACCGCTATCGCGAGAGATGTTCATGATAGTTCCGTGAACGCAGGAGGCGAAGTCAATTCGACGATCGCGCCGTGACCGCGGAGTCGGGGTCATACCGACGATCGCGCTGTGACTGCGGAGTCATAACGACGGTGGCACCGTGGCCGCGAAATCATACCGACAATTATACTGTGACCGCGAGTCATACCGACGATCACACCGTGACCGTGGAGTTATACCGACGATCGCGCCATGACGGTGAAGTCATACCAACGATCATACCGTGAACGTGGAATCATACCGACGATCACACCGTGACCACGGAGTCATACCGACGATCGCGATGTGACTGCGGAGTCATAACGACGAGGGCACCGTGGCCGCGAAGTCATACCGACGATTACCCCGTGACCGTGGAATTATACTGACCATCGTGCCATGACCGGGAAGTCATACCGACGATCATACCGTGACCGCGGAGTCATAACGACGATCACACCGTGACCACAGAGTCATACCAATGATCATGCCGTGACCGCGCAGTCATACCAACGATCACGCCGTGACTACGGAGTCATAACGACGATCACGCCGAGACCGCGGAGGCATACAGACGATCACGCCGTGACCGCGGAGTCATAACGACGATCAAAAGGTGGCCGCGAAGTCTGAGTCATACCGACGATCACGCCGTGACCGCGAAGTAATACCGACGATCATACCGTGCCCGCAAGTCATACCGACGACCACGCCATGACCGCGGAGTCATACTGAGGATCATGCCGTTACCATGAGTCATTTCTACCTCGAGTCACAAGTTTCTATACCTGTAAATTTTTACCCATTTTTTGGTTTTTGTAGATCAGTGCCTCAAAATGACTTTGTTATTTTTGTTTGGTAACTGCAAAACTCGAGACTTTCTTTTTATGTACAGGAAAAAATCCTGTCCCGTCCCGAAAATTATACTCCGTTCAAACAGGGGGATTAGGAGGCCCCAAGGATTTCCATGGGGTGTCCTAATCCGTCAGGTGCCACGGTTGTTTGAACGGAGTATAGGAAGGAAATAAAAATCCCGTCCCGAACCAAAAATTCAATCCCGTCCATCCCTACTAACTTAAGTATTTTAGTATAAATTAAATGGAAGGAATATTTTTGCTTGTATTTATAAAATTTCAATAATAGTCCGGGCATATTAATCATAAACATAATAGTGTACACTACTATACTAACCTGAATGACTGCTGGAACAATGACGTCAGGAAAGCTTATTCTGTGACTTTCTCCAGCACAGTATTCAAGTAACAGTTGGTACACTTGCTCAATGATAGCATCACGGAATCCATTTTCCCCCAAACCTGCCTTTGATACTCGCAACACACAAGTAAAGTCCATTGGTTTTACTGACATTTTCTTATTCTTCTTATTGAAATCTGTCAGTGTTAGAGCCTAATTGACAAAAAATTAAATATTATTATGAGCAGAACTAGTTTTTAAAATTTAATTCTATTGCCTCTACGTAAAAACTAGTCTTTAGTTTATAGTTTAATTGTTTTTTACAAACCATCTCTTGAAGGTCTTTTGAATTTGTTAAGTCAACCTTCAAACAAGTGACTTTACAAAAAAATCTAAATAAAGTACTTTCTCAACTTAGGTTTCTGCACATCTGCTTATAGCGATTTCTCTACAGGGAAATGAGTACCTATTTTACGTATGTAGCATATTACCTAGACCAGGGATTGACATAATTTTTCATTTTAATGTCCCCAGAGGCCAAAAATGCTATTACTTTAAATATCTTATCTTACTAATATTATAAATGTGAAAGTTTGTGTGTTTGAAGTTCAATCACACATTAACTACTGGACAGATTGGGCTGAAATTTGGCAAGATGATAGCTCACATTCCCGTTTAACATCTAGACATATTCTTATCTCAAAAATCCTTTCGGGCTCTGCCCCAGTGGCTCTGTAGTTCCCCATGTTAACCTTATGAGTATTCATATTTAAAGGGAATTAAAGAATTTAGTCAGCTGTTTCAACTAAAAAAGTTGGTTCTATGATAAGCAAACGCATTAAAATGTTATAAGATTTACCAACAGAGTGCAGCACTATATTTTTTGCATTTATGAAAACAGCTAATTTGAACTAAGCAGCAACAAAAAACTGTGATACACAATGAGAACTAACTGTCAAATTTATTTTTCTCTATTGTTTAGGCGAAGTGGTATAACATTATGGCTATGGTAGATGTGTAACTATAGAATACTGTAAATTTAAAGAAGCAAATTTTATCAAACTGAGTCCTCCCTCATTGCAAACGCAAAGCTTGAGTATAACTGCAATAAGCATTTTTTATACTATATGCCAACCCCGTATGAAGGACGGGTACTCTGCTAGTATATTATATATCTGGTTGTGTGTTGTGTCAACCAACCACACTGTGAAAGTACAGCTGATGTTAGTGTTGCTAATGATTTATTGTGAGTGAAGATGGAAGAATTTGTGATTTAATTCAAAGAATATTGACATAAACAAATTGTTTATTTATATTTAATAATTGGTAGTTTTGCAACTTCAAGATTGAAATTTTAAATTTTGTACAGCACGGGTACAACAGCTAGTATATTTTATATGGTTGTGTGTTGTGAGAACCAACCACACTGTGAACGTGATTACTTGAGTACTTCTAGTATTATTTCTGTGTTGACATATACTAAAATTCCATGAACACAGATATAATACTAGAAATAAAAATCATACTTCCATTGAATACCATAGGCTCTCAAAATCTATAAACAGTCATGTTGTTGTAGCTCCTAAGGTTTACAATAAACTTAACCCTTATCTCAAAATATGATGTCAAACAATTCAAGAGAAAGTTTTATAACTGGTTAATATTAATAAACACACTTTATTCACTTAATCAGTTTTTTTCTTGCCAAATTGCTTTCTAGATCGTTCTATGCACTTAAATACAAATCCCCACTCTCTATAATTAATAGTCTCTATAAATAATTTTTCACATTGAAACTATTATTGAAAACTAATTCTCTCTTTTTTAAATGATATGATTTATTCAGCATTGACTCCAGCATTGATTTATGACAGTATAAAATAGGTTTACGTACCTTACGAAACTTGTCGCTTGTAAGACTATTCAAGGATTGACGACGTAAGGTACGTAAACCTATTTTATACTAAGATATGATGTTATCAGAAATTATTTTCTATTTTATCTGTTATTGATGTTCCAGGCCAGCTTGGAAGAGAAATTGTTTGATTTGTTTGTTTAGTTGTTTTATTCTATAAATTATACAAATTAAGTTTCATTTGATATTTACATATACTTTAATTTGCTTCATGACTGTTGTAAGAAAGACTTAGTAAACCAAAAGTATGGCTTTTATTCATTCAAAATTACAACCATGTTTTAGTTCAGAACAAATACAATATTTACAAACAAATCAAATAATAAATATTATCAGGTGATAATGTTCACATCACCACATTCTCCCCCACTATTTTTCAAGGTAGGTATAGCATATGTAATCCTTTAGATATGACGGAGGCTTGACATTCCTCTTTGGACGTAGTTCCCCCACAGTCGTCTCTGAAGATGGGGTCTGAGATACCATTTCTTGAGTTTCATTTTGAACTTCATTGTGGTCAATGTCTGAATTTATATTTTCAACAATCTCTCTCTCAGTAGTGTTGTCTTCATGAGGTAGATCACCAGGAGGTAGGCCAGCGGGTGCAAGATGTCTCAGGGATACTTGTGATTCTGACCCATCTCTTCTTCTGACGAGAGCGTACTGTGGATTTGATTCCAAAAGTTGAACTGGCTCCAAAAGGTCATCATATTTATTAGATCTTACAAACTTTCTAAGCAGGACAGGACCAGGAGCGGATAGCCAAGATGGTAAGGAGTCTCCATTGGTAGTTCTTCTGCTATGTATAAAGAATCTTTCGTGCGGTGTGCAGTTTGTCGCAGTGCATAAAAGAGATCTGACTGATTGAAGAGCCTCCTGTAATACTTCTTCCCATGCAGCAACTGGCGGGTGTGGTTTTTCAAAGCTAGTAGGATGGTTCGCCATGTTGTTCCATTGAAGCGTTCAATCTGAGAGTTCCCTCTAGGGTTATAAGGTGTCGTTTGACTTGTAGCTACTCCGTACTTGTGAAGAAAGTCCGTCAGCTCTCGCGACATGAAAGATGAACCTCTATCTGAATGTACAAAGGACGGGGCTCCAAACATAAAAATAGATCTGAAAAACATCTGATAACTGTTGCTGAACTAATGTCCTTACAGGGGTAAGCAAATACAAAACAAGAATACTCATCCACCATGGTTAAAAGGTAACGGTTTCTGGTTGTTGATGGAAGAGGGCCCTTAAAGTCAATATTTAGACGTTCGAAGGGAGTGGTTGCCTTTATCAATTTGCCTTGGAATTGGTGAAATCTTGGCTTCACTTCTGCACATGTTTGACAAGCTGACGTCATCCTTTTTACATAATCCAAAGTGTAGTTTAGATTTTTAGTTCTAATCCAATGAAACATTCGAGTGATTCCCGGATGGCAGAGAGATTTGTGTAATTCAAACAACTTGGCATTATCCCAGCGAACCGCACATGCCCGAGAGAGCGTATCTGCTTTTACATTCTCCCTACCAGGTCGGTACACTATTTCATATTGATAAGGTGTTAGCTCTAGTCGCCATCTCATAACTTTATCGTTCTTGATTTTTCTTGTATGCCTCTTGTCAAAGATAAATGATAAAGCTTGCTGATCCATGTATAATCTGAAGTCTCTTCCGATAAGAAATGGTTTCCATTTTCGAAGGGCTTCGACAATGGCAACGGCTTCTTTTTCAACAGCTGAATACAGCTTCTCAGATTTGTTTAGAGTCCGTGAGAAAAAAGCAATTGGCCGATTATCTTGACTCAAAGTTGCTGCCACGGCTATGTCAGATGCGTCAGTCTCCACTACCAGTGGCTCTTGCCCATTCCTAGGAGTAATTACTGAGTTTGCAATGTCAAGTTTGAGGGCTTCAAAATCTGCAAGCGCTTCCTGTGACAAAGGAAAAGAATTGACTTGTGTCAGGTTTCTTATTTTATCAGAAAACCGATGTATCCATTTTGAATAGTGAGCGAAAAATCCTAGGACTCGCTTTAGTGAAACTTGGTCTTTGGGAACAGGAAGTGACAGTAGAGATTCTAACCGATCTGGATCAGGTCGAATAGAGTTATGGGAAACTAAATGTCCCAACAAGGTTATTGAAGACTGGTTGAACTTGCTCTTTTCGTTGTTGATTACAAGTCCATACTTAGTTACAGCATCTAAAAATGTTCTTAGATTCTCATCATGATCCTTTTGATCCTTTCCACATACGGTCAAATCATCCAGATAGGCATACACTCCATTCAGTTTTTCTTTTCTAATGATTTGGTCCATGGTCTTTTGAAAGCATGCCACCCCGTTGCTTACGCTAAATGGGATTCTTCTGAATTGAAAAAGACGACCAGCAGCTTCAAAAGCAGTGTACTTTTTCTCTTCGTCAGAAATTGGTATTTGATAGTATGCTTGCTTTAGATCAATGGCACTAAAAACCTTGTTTGTCGCTACAGTGGATACTAGATCATCTATGTTTGGTAAGGGATAGGCGTCTAACAGAGTAAATTTGTTTATCGTTTGCGAATAGTCCACACACAGTCGCTTGTAACAACTTCTAACTTCTCCCTTTGTCGTTTGTAACAACCAACACTTGTGCACGCCAAGGTGACGAACTAGGTTTAATGATCTCCTCAGTCTGTAGTCTTTCCATTTCTTGTTTTATAAATTGCATATCTTCATCTGAGTAACGTCGTGATTTTGTGGCTATTGGCTTACAATCTGGAGTTAAATTGCAGAATAGTTTGGGTGGTTCAACTTTGGCACAGGAGCACACCAACAGAGGAGGTTTCTTACCTCCAAACCAAACCTGTATATTTGAGTGGAGTTTCATGATATCATGTCGATAAGCACGTCAGTACAAAGATCTTCAAGAACAGTCAACTTAAAATTGTTGTAATTGTGATTCAACAGATTTAGGTTGATTTTAACAAACCCGTGGACGTTTGATTTCATATTAGAAGCAGCTAGTGATACTCATTATACATTCACATTGCTTAGTTCAAATTAGCTGTTTTCATTATACATTTTAATTTTGTTTAACTGAACAAACTTCAAGTTTACAAAGCTTGATGTACTCCCGGTGTCTATTAAGCAATTTGCTTTCAGGCCATTCACTTTAGCTTCAACTGTAGAGTCCTTCAATACTATTATGTATTATGTGTTGTTGCTATTAGTGCAGCTGATGTACTAGACGTCTTCTGTTTTACTTTAAAATGTTGAGTTGGATTACTTTTACAGACTCTCGCATAATGCCCTGTCTTGTTACATTTCCCACAAGTT